ATCTAATATTAACCTGCAAGTGTTTTTACACATCCTTGGAGGAAACTCTATAAGAATATATTACTGCAGGGGCTTCAGAAATGTACACTCAAGCCCTGCCAATGCTTTGCAAAGAGAAAATAATCAACATCTATATCGTACCTTTTAATTAAATCTGTTTCTAAGCAAATAGGTCAGCCATGAGGCTTTAAAAGCAATCCAAGTCTCAAACACACTGACTTCCAACATTTATTCCTCAAACAGACTGTATTGCACAGCACAGTTTAATTGCACTTTTTGTACAGCGCCTTAAAAAATTGATTTTATAAGGCATTAAATAATTAATTAAATAAATAAATAAATAACATGATTGTAAAAATGCAGGGACAATATACCTAGCACCAGTTTCACAACTGAGAGTAGTCAATCAGCCAAATCATTGCACACTAGGTTACCAGTATTTGTATCAAAAGAATCATGGAGTTGGGATGGATCTTATAGGTCATCTTGTCAAAAGTCCCATTTGCACCATACATTTAAAGCACCATGACACCACTTTAAAAAGTTGTGGCTTACCCCAAAGAATCCTGGGAGCTGTAGTTTGTTACGAGTGCTGGAAGCTGTTTGGAGACCCCTGTTCCCAGGGCCAGCCCATGGATGAGGAGAAGGAGGCAGCCGCTTCAGGCAGGGGTATTCAGAGGCTGCCTCTGCCAGAGTGATCCCCCCCACACACACACTGCTGGAGAAGTAGCCGTGGCAGCTTCCAGGTTCCAGTGAGATCCTGCAAGTGCCCACAAGATCGCACAGAGGCCTCACGAGATCTCGCCAGAAGCTGCAGCCGCCTGACCCTGGTAAGCAAAGCTTGGTCAGGGGTGGCAAGGGGGCAGGCAGCACGCACCCAGGGTGGCTCGTTCCCATTTCACCTCACATGGCGAAACAGGATGCGCCCCCCCCCCCCGCTTGTTTCCCTAACAGAGCTACACTTCTTAGAATGGTTCAACCCCCCTTCCCAGAGCAATCTGGAAACTGTAACTCTGTGATGGGAATGGAGAACTCCTAAAAAGCTCTCAGCTCCCTGAGCAAACTACTGTTCCCTGTATTCTTTGGGAGTGCTAAAGTGGTATGAAATGGATGGTTGGGCTTTGGCTCCACTCCCTGCTTCATGCAGGAAGCCCAGAGCTGGCGTATCCATATCAGATGGTTGCTCAGCTTCTGCTTGAAGGTCTCCAACAAAGAGAGCCCACCCTGACCCCTCCAGGATCCCACTGCCAAAGTGACTGCACTGTTGAGACATTTCTGCTGACATTCAGCTGAAATCTCTCCTCCAGTTACTTAAGCCCATCAGATCCACACTATTGTCATCGGGCAACAGAGAATACGTCTCTTGGCTCTTTCATGAAATAGCCCCTCAATATATTTGAATAGTGATGGGGTGAACACCCTGCATTTGGGCTCAGAAAACCAAAGAGGTCATATTTTAAGGAGTGACCTCTAAAATATCACACCCATGTTAATCCACCGCACTAAAAAATACCCCAAATGAAGAGTCCTGTGGCATCTTGAAGATTAACACATTTCATAGAATCATAGAATCATAGAGTTGGAAGAGACCACAAGGGCCATCGAGTCCAACCCCCTGCCAAGCAGGAAACACCATCAGAGCACTCCTGACATATGGCTGTCAAGCCTCTGCTTAAAGACCTTCAAAGAAGGAGACTCCACCACACTCCTTGGCAGCAAATTCCACTGTCGAACAGCTCTTACTGTCAGGAAGTTCTTCCTAATGTTTAGGTGGAATCTTCTTTCTTGTAGTTTGGATCCATTGCTCCGTGTCCGCTTCTCTGGAGCAGCAGAAAACAACCTTTCTCCCTCCTCTATATGACATCCTTTTATATATTTGAACATGGCTATCATATCACCCCTTAACCTCCTCTTCTCCAGGCTAAACATGCCCAGCTCCCTTAGCCGTTCCTCATAAGGCATCGTTTCCAGGCCTTTGACCATTTTGGTTGCCCTCCTCTGGACACGTTCCAGTTTGTCAGTGTCCTTCTTGAACTGTGGTGCACAGAACTGGACACAGTACTCCAGGTGAGGTCTGACCAGAGCAGAATACAGTGGTACTATTACTTCCCTTGATCTAGATGCTATACTCCTATTGATGCAGCCCAGAATTGCATTGGCTTTTTTAGCTGCCGCGTCACACTGTTGGCTCATGTCAAGTTTGTGGTCAACCAAGACTCCTAGATCCTTTTCACATGTACTGCTCTCAAGCCAGGTGTCACCCATCTTGTATTTGTGCCTCTCATTTTTTTTTGCCCAAGTGCAATACTTTACATTTCTCCCTGTTAAAATTCATCTTGTTTGTTTTGGCCCAGTTCTCTAATCTGTCAAGGTCGTTTTGAAGTGTGATCCTGTCCTCTGGGGTGTTAGCCACCCCTCCCAGTTTGGTGTCATCTGCAAATTTGATCAGGATGCCCTTGAGTCCATCATCCAAGTCGTTGATAAAGATGTTGAATAAGACCGGGCCCAAGACAGAACCCTGTGGCACCCCACTAGTCACTCTTCTCCAGGATGAAGAGGAACCATTGATGAGCACCCTTTGGGTTCGGTCAGTCAGCCAGTTACAAATCCACTGAGTGGTAGCATAGTCAAGTCCGCATTTTACCAGCTTCTTTACAAGAATATCATGGGGCACCTTGTCAAATGCCTTGCTGAAATCAAGGTAGGCTACATCCACTGCGTTACCTTCATCTACCAGGGTTGTAATTCTGTCAAATAACGAGATCAGGTTAGTCTGACATGACTTATTTTTCAGAAATCCATGCTGACTATTGGTGATCACAGCATTCCTTTCTAGGTGCTCACAGACTGTTTGCTTAATGATCTGCTCCAGAATCTTCCCTGGTATTGATGTCAGACTGACTGGGCGGTAATTATTTGGGTCCTCTCTTTTCCCCTTTTTGAAAATAGGGACAACATTTGCCCTCCTCCAGTCTGCCGGGACTTCGCCTGTTCTCCAGGAATTCTCAAAGATGACTGCCAGTGGTTCTGAAATCACATCTGCCAGTTCTTTTAATACTCTTGGATGCAGTTCATCTGGCCCTGGAGACTTGAATACATCTAGACTAGCCAAGTATTCTTGTACTATCTCCTTAGTTATTCTGGGCTGTGTTTCCTCTGCTGAATCATTTGCTCCAAATTCTTCAGGTCGGGCATTGTTTTCTTTATCGGAGAAGACTGAGGCAAAGAAGGCATTGAGGAGTTCAGCCCTTTCTGTGTCCCCTGTTTGCATTTCACCATCTTCTCCTCTGAGTGACCCCACTGTTTCTTTGTTCTTCCTTTTGCTACGAACATACCCATAAAAGCCTTTTTTGTTGCTTTTAACCTCTCTAGCAAGCCTGAGTTCATTCTGTGCTTTAGCTTTTCTGACTTTGTGTCTACACGTGCTGGCTATTTGTTTGAATTCCTCTTTGGTGGTTTCCCCCCTTTTCCATTTTTTGTACACATCCTTTTTTAATCTTAACTCAGTTAAAAGTTCTTTAGATAGCCACCCTGGCTTCTTTAGGCACCTTCCATGTTTCCGTCTCATTGGTATTGCCTGAAGTTGTGCTTTTACTATCTCCCTCTTAACAAACTCCCAGCCATCATGAACTCCCTTTCCTTTTAGTATTACTGTCCATGGGATCTCACCCAGCACTTCTCTAAGTTTTATGAAGTCGGCTTTCTTAAAGTCAAGAAATTGAGTCCTAGTATGCTTGGCTGCTCCTTTCCGCTGTATAGTAAACTTCAGAAGAGCATGATCACTCGCGCCTAATGATCCTTCCACTTCTACCCCACTAACCAGGTCATCAACATTGGTTAGGACCAGATCTAAAATGGCTGTTCCTCTTGTTGCTTCTCCCACTTTCTGGACAATGAAGTTGTCTGCAAGTCCAGTGAGGAATCTGTTTGACCTTATGCTCTTGGCTGAGTTTGACATCCAACAAATATCCGGGTAATTGAAGTCCCCCATTACTACTATCTCCCTTCCTTTTGCATGCTTGGCCATCTGTTCCAGGAAGGCATCATCTATGTTCTCCGTTTGGCTTGGGGATCTATAGTAAACTCCCACAATGAGGTCTCTGTTATTCTTCTCTCCCTTAATTTTGACCCAAATGCTCTCACTTTGGCTTTGAGGTTCTAAATCTTGGATCTCTTCACAGGTATACACATCCCTGACATATAACGCCACTCCTCCATTTGGTGTGGCAGAAGGTTTCATGGGCCTATGAATCAATAAGGACCATGTCAGAATATGTATTTAGGAAGTACAAGAGCTGGTGTTCAACTAAGTTCTGATCCATTCATTAGTCTGGGTCAGTTTGCATCCAGTTCCTTAGGTAGCCCTATTCAGCAGCTTCAGCCCTTGAAGGTGTCTTGTTGCAGGATGGTGACAGGGATGGGGAACCTCAGGTCTAGGGACCAAATTCAAGCCTCCAGGCTCCTCTATCCAACCCTCACGGGTCCCCCCAGACCACACCTGCTTTCCTCAGGACACACCAATTGCCAGCCTGCTTTGTGCTCTCCTCCTGGTGTGCTTCTGGAGGGGATGTGTCCTTAAAGTGTTTGCATACCTCTCCCTTTCCTTGATGGAGAAATGTATATGGTGGAAGGGATGTAAAGCAAGACGCCACAGACTTTTGAGGTGGTGGTATGGCAGCCTGCTGCTATTCAAGACAAGAATGGCATCCCTTGTTCCACCTGCTTTTGCCTCTGCTTCCACCCCCCACCCCACCCCCCGGCAGGCCCTTTGGTTCCTCCCCCTTGCTTTAAAGTCTGCTGCAGGATATGTTGGGGGAGTGAAATGTTCCCCACTGGTTTCCACTGTTTTGTTTGAACTATTTATTGTGCTTTTATCTTGTGTTTTTATCTTGAGAACCTCCCTGAGAGGTTTTGGTGAAGGGTGGTATATAAATATTATAACTGTGTGGTGGGACAGTGAAAGCCACACCACATTGCCCAAAGGTAGAAACTTCCCTTACCTTCCGCAAAAGGTTCCCACTCATAGAATCTTCCCATAAAAGGCTTGTTGTTGTAGGAGGAGCACTGCAACTCTCTGATGTTTCTGTTCTCAGGACACGCCTGTCAAATAAGGAAGAATTAGATCAGAAACATGTGCAATTGACATGACTGCTGACATTCTCTCATGCCTTAATGATAGATCACATCTGGAAGTGTGATCTCCAACAGAGGTGTAATCAATTACTTGTGAGATATCAATTTTGGTGCATCAGAGCCAGGGCTTCTTATACATACGGAAATTACAAACAGGCTACACTGGTATTATGGGAAGGTTTGCTTATTTATTGGCTTTCAAAAACGTTCTCAGTGTTATTATTGTTATGTGTTTTTATTTATATGGAAAAATCAGTAAAAACATTTTTTTAAATATGTTGGATTTCAAACGTACATATTCAGGAAAAAACATAATATCTCTTATATGTTTGCATGCAACTCAGTAAAGACAAAGGCAAGTCAAAGAAAATGCATAATAAGATATCCTCTGTGCCATAGAAACAACCATATGCCACAATATATTTAAGTTATGTACAGACTATGGGGCAATTTATTACAGGTCTTGGTGGCTACTGTGAATTTCTATGTCTCTAACTGCAGTTTCTTACTGTCTTGGAAAGCTGTAATCAGAGGCAAAGAGGTGGTTGGAAGTGGGGTGCTGCTTAACCCTTTCTACTCCTGCTATTTGTTTGTTAAGCCCGCCCACCATCAGCAGCCATTTTCCCACTCGTAGGTGAAAAGTATTTGACCCTCAGCACATCTCTCAGTCTACCGCTTCTCTTCAAAGCAATTTACTAAAATGCATTTTGAAAACTGCCTCTGCTGACCTGTCCATTGTTTGGAGCTTTTTGGCCAAGTGCCCTGAAAATGCCACCACTCTCCCAGACACTTGTGAGTTCAGACTGGTTGGATACCTGCAAATGAGCACAGCTGTTCCAGACCTGTGCTGAGATGACACACGTTTGGAAAAGGAGCCACGTGGGTCACTTTCTAGCCAAAACAACCTCAAAAAGCAATTAGAGCCCTAAGTCCTTGCACGGTCTAACTTGCATGGCCCTCTAGAATCTGGCAAAAAACACTCCCACCCCGCCAGCCTGGATTTCCCCAGGTCAGGCATGGGTTTGCCAGCTTAACACTCATTAGGATTTCTGGAAACTAAATGCAAGGAGTGAAAGGGAGGAAAAAACCAGCTGACGTATCACTCGAGAAAAGTCCATCCTTCTGTGGAAATTATAAGTTGGGTGAGGGGGAGGTCTTAGTCTTACTCTTATATTTCCCCCAATAATTTTGCTCAGCTACAACCTGTAGCTGACCAGCTGCATCCTGGCTCATGGAGGACCCCAGTATAAACTAGGAATGGGGGAGGGATTTGATTTGTTTATACTTTAAAAGGAAACTACCCAATTTTCACTTATTGAACCAGTATGCAAACTGAAACACATCTACCCTTTCATTGCACTTTGCTGAAATTCGCAGTGCAGTTCTCCAAACCAAACTATGCGTACACAAATGCATATATTCATGAAAACAGCAGGCACAAATGTATTATATTGGGGGGGGGGAGGCCATCTCGGTCAGCTCAGTCAGGGGAGCTGCTGGGCAACAGAGTGGTCGATAGACCAGCAGCATCCCCAACCTGCCCTTGTAGCCTAACACGAGGTGCAGACCTTTGAGGGCCTTCCCAAGTGTTATGTACTGAGTTGAATGGGATCCAAAATACAGCAGTCTGATTGTTCCTAGAACAACAGGATCCAGAATGCAGCAGTCTGATTGGTCCACAGGAGCCACCCAATCCAGCTCTAGGTGGAAGGGAATCCGCAACCTGATTGGCCTACAGGAGAATCCCAGAATTAGCCAATCACGTGGGGCCCATTGTGTAAATAATGTATATAAGGCAGACATTCGGGGGGAACTTCCATTCCTCCTCACCACTATGAGCTGAATAAAGAGCATGAAATCCACTCTCGTCTCCAAGTATATTTCACCAAGGTAAGAGGTTTTCTGGCAAAGGAAATGGTGCTTTGTGGGCAATAGCACACTGCCAGCACCTGTCAAACCCCAGCCTAGCCTGGTGCTTTACAGAGTAGCCAGGTGGGCACAGCTGTTCAGCAACTCAGACAAATAAATTGTCCATTTCAAAAGCCTCCCTTTTTGCAAGGTTTTGACGCAGCCTCTTTCTCTCAAGGCATCTGCTACCTTTCTATGCTCATACGATATATTGAGAGATTGTCATTTCCTTCACTGCTTCTTCAAAAACGGAAAAAGAAAAACCCTTGGGTCAACCTCATCCAGCCCTGCTGATTGGTATGTGTTAAAAGTTTTCCCAGGTAACTACCTCCAGCCATTACTTTGCTGTTAACCTCCTAGGGTCACCCTCCCCACCACGATTATCACCTGTGAGTTACCGTACATTAAGTTACCAGAATTTCTCAGAGCTAAAACACAATGGACAGAACTGGACTGCTGGCTGTGCTGCAACAATGCAGTTAATGCCTAGGAACAAAAGATGGACCTTCGATCCACCAACCAGTCAGGAAGGATTGCTGCACACCTGAATTCACCCGACCCATGTGACTTGGATCACTGGAATGAGGCTTTCCACAGGTGCTTGTAGCAGCTGGTAGCTGCTATGCTCATCTAAGCATTGTTGGGATGAATCCATGGGACACAGAACCCCAAATCTCTTCCTAAATGCCCCAAGTGTTTCAAGTAATAAATTTTGAGGCAGGGGGACTCTGATCCTCAAGAGGACCTTGATAAGACGGTGTTGTTTAATAAATATAGATATATCTACACACACATTTTCTCTTTCTGTAACATGTTTTATATCTTGAAATACAAAGCCTGAGGAATGGAAAAGGATGAGGGGCTAAATTGCTGGCCCTTGGAAGACTGGAAGAAAAGATGGAGAGGTTCCTCTGCTCCCTTCTCAGATGCTCTGGGCATAGGGATTAATCTGGAGTTTGTATCGCTGCCAGGAAGTCTGGGAAATAGAATTCTTAATGTGCCCTGAATCATTTCATTCACTCCATTTTCCAGGTTCTCTGGCAGCTACGAATTCACACAAATGTATAGGACTTCCTTCATTCCAGTTCTCCCTCCTACCAACCTTACCCCAACTTAAGAATGGTGCATTTTAGGAAAAACAGGGGACACTGGAGCCAGGTTGACCCCACTCCCAAGCCAGGAGGCTTTTGGTTCCTTGTTTTTCAAACAGCCTATGCCACATGATGTCACAATAGTGAAATGATAGAGAAGCAACCATGACTAGCAACCCAAAAAGGATGCTTGGGAAAGGCTTAAATGAAGCTTGATGGCAATCGCCTCCATGTGCTAAGTCCTACATCAGGGATGGGGAACCTGCACCCAAACTCTTGACGGAAGGCGCTGGCACTAATTGCGCCCCCACAAGGGATGGGAGTTGGCCCCCCCAATCCCATATCATCCCGACCCAGCCAAAGGACCTCTGTCTTCGAAGGATTTAACTTCAACCGGCTCCCATGTAGCCATCCAGCCACAGCTTCCAGAAATCTGATTAGTGTGTCTGGGGCCGAGCCAGGATGGCTGTCCATCAACAGATAGAGTTGGGTGTCATCAGCATACTGATGGCAACCCAAACCAAAATTCCAGACAAGCTGGGCGAGGGGGCGCATAAAGATGTTGAAAAGCATCAGGGAGAGAATTGCGCCCTGCGGTACTCCATACACCAAGGAGTAGCGTGATGACAGCTCCCACCCCCACCCCCAGCGCCACCCTCTGTCCCCGACCAGAAAGGAATGAGCGAAGCCATTGAAGGACTGTGCCCCGAATCCCCACGTCGGTGAGGCGGTGGTCTAAAAGTTTGTGATCAACCATGTCAAAGGCTGGTGACATATCTAAAAGAATCAACAGCCCCATACCGCCTCAATCCAGCTGCCTACGGAAATCGTCTGTTAGGACGACCAGAGCTATCTCGGTCCCATGACCAGAGCGAAAGCTGGACTGGAATGGATGTAGAGCCGATGTATCATCCAGAAATCCACCCACCAGTTCAGCAACCGCTCTCTCAGTCACCATACCCAGGATGGGAAGATTCGAAACTGGGCATTAATTGGATAGATCTAAAGGATCTAATGATGTTTTCTTTAAGAGCGGACGCACCACTGCCTCCTTCAGTTCCCCTGGGAATGTCCCGGTGCCAAGGGACAAATTGATGATCTTACTGAGGGGGGCCCGCACCTCATCTGATCATGCTCTAATCAGCCAGGACGGGCACGGGTCGAGAGGACAGGTGGTGGGCTTTCCGACATGGAGGAGTCTGTCCACATCGGCTGAGAGTATCCTGTCAAAGTGGTCCAGTAGTGGACCTAAGGACAGTCAAGGGGCCTCCAGTTCCATTATTGTATCCAAATTAGCAGGGATGTCACAGCGGAGCATCAGGACCTTCTCTGCAAAAAAAGCTCACAAATGCCTCACAGCTATGTGCCTGATTCATATTTAAATTTTGCTGTCCCTCTAGAGACATTAGAGAGCTCATTATACTAAAAAGTTGCACTGGAAGAGAGGTAGCAGCAATGGAGGCTGAGAAGTAGGATTTCTTAGCAGCCTTCATGGCCATCTCATAGATTTTCATAAACACCCTATAAGGTGTTCTTGAGGCTCTGTCGCAGGCATCCTGCCATACTTGTTCTAGCCGTCTGAGGTCCCACTTCATTTTCCAGAGCTCCTCGGTAAACCAGGGGGCCCAGTTTCTGCAGGGTCACAGAGGGCGCCTAGGTGCAATCTCATCGATGGCCGCCAAGAGCTGGGTATTCCAACCCTCAACAAGCTCAGTCAATGAGTCACCAGAGGGAGCAGGATCCCACAAGGCCTGATGGAATCTATCAGGATCCATCAGCCTCCGCGGGTGAGCCCAAATAGGCTTGTCACCTAAGCAGGGTAGGGGCAGGAAGCCAATCCTGGCTTTCAGAACAATAGTGATCAGACCATGGCACCTCCATAGTGGGGGACATGATCACATCTATGCCTGCGCCGAAGATCAGGTCCAGCATGTGGCCTGCTGGATGTGTGGGGCCCAAAACAAACTG